ACCAATTGCATTCTTTATGCTATTCATGTTTTACAAGCTAAAAAAAGACATAGAATGCTGTGCTCAGATCTGAATTGCTTTTATTCATGTTGCATTTCATTATCTAGAGCATTATCTAATGAGTCTTATTGGCTTCTGGGACCAAGCTCTCTAAATTTGGAAAACTATTCTTTAAATCTCTATTCCTGTTTCATTTCTTTTAACATCTCACTACTTCTTTTATTGTTCTTTTACCCTTTTCTTTGTCCTTTAATACCTGGAAGATAAACCAAAGATATAATTCTTTTACACAAATGCCAGGACTTTGGAAACTACTAACCTTCACTAGGTTAAATGCTTACTGATGCTGCTGCTGCTTACAGAGGGAGATCAAAACACACCTCCGAGAAATTAACAGCTCCAAGCTTTTCTCAGCCTCGTGTTTCCTAGTCAAAGATGTACCCATAACATCAGGAAGTTAACCTTCAAAAAAATCTAGGAGTGAGGGAGTCAGAGTGAGGCCTGTGTGTCCAGTAACTATAACAGTGATGAGAAAGCTGTGAGAATTTGTTTTGTGGTTAAGAAAAATTCAGCAAAAACAAACTCTCAGGAGCATGCTCACCTTTTGATTTGTTTAACCATTAGTGCCGAGATTTGCATATCATCCCTTAATTCATGACACTGAACACAAGCGGGAGAATTATTTCAGCAGAAGAGCTATTTCAAACAGCTGAAGAGATATAAGATAACATAAACCTGGAAGAGATCTAAGCAGTCCAGAGTCACTTCCAGCTTTTGGAGGACTTAGGTCATCCTGGAAAGAAAACTGTTTATTCTACCTATTTTATTCATTCAAACATTTCCAGAAAAAAGTAACTTCATTTTCTCTTTAATGATTACAAAGCTAAAAATACTTTGTGGCTTTTAATGTGTATTTTTGGACACAGTTTCATGAAGTCTGTAGTTAAATTAACGTATGCAAGTTTTCCCTTTTGTCTTTGCCTTCGATAGCACGTGTTTACTTGCTGAATAAGGAACTTAGAATGGCATAGAACGAAGTGCCGAAGAAATAAAAGTGTAAATATTTAAGGACTTGAGTCAAATATCACATAGCTATGCCACAAAGGACAGCTTATTATTTATTGCATTGGTGGAAGCTGGATTTTTGTCATGCTTTGTAAGGCATGGTGTAAAAACTAACACTGATGATTATGACCTCTCCATGTGATGTCACTGAACTTGCAGTTGGGAGGTTATGTGAACAACAGGCTCTAAGAAGCTTCTGTGAGCTGAATGTCTTTTCTGGGATGCTATCAGTCCTTGACTTTTGCACCATAAAGTACCCTACTTCATTTTCTGTTACTCTGATACCAGGTTCTCTTCATCTTTTTATTTCTTCTATTTCTTATTCGTGATCCCTAACTGTAGACTTAATTGAGGGTTAAATTTTCCATCCCTTCATTTTCTTCCCTGGCATTTTCCTCCATTCATGCTTTCATCATCACTTTAACTCTTGGCTGCTCCCTGGAGGTCGTATCTCTAGTCTAATGTCTTACTGAAGCTAGAGATACTCCCTCCTTTACCTCATATGCAGTAAGGCTAAAGCTAGATTCCTAATCTTTCTCTTATCCCCAAATTACCCATTCATATCCTATTAAAAAGTGTTAAATGCAAACTATACACCAGACATTTCAGGAGGTGCTTTGGACATAAACCTGGAAATTATTATCTATATTTTATAGAGTGCAAAATACAAAGCTCAGATACTTGGATTAATTTACTCAAATTGACCCATCCAACAGGGAATGTAACTCAGAGGTCAACCCAGAACTCTGACACCAAAACCTGTCTTTATTTCTATTATACCATAAAGCTTCTCAATCAATGGAACTATTTTTTATTACACTAAATGAAAATATGAAAGTAATTTTTTGAGTTTTTCTTAACTGTTAGTAGTGACCACATCCTGTCTAATCATACATTGGGCCAGTGTTTGCACAAATATTTCTCTCCCTTCTATGCTAAGAGCTTCTAAAATCCAGCCATGCCACACTCATCATTTTATTCCTTTCTGTAACAAAATTCTTTGTAGAGGTAACTGCTCAAAATTTCTTGATTTAATAAGTGATATAATTAATTAATGAACAACAGCGCACTTTGAATATATTCATTGTGTTTGTGCTACAATAGTCTTTCTCTGTTATCTCTATTGAGAGTCATGAATGATGTTTTATGTATCAGATCAAATTTACACTAAAGGGATATTCAGGTTTAGTTTGCTGCAAAGAGAAACAAAAATGGAATGCAATATATACTCGTTGTAGTATAAATCATGAAATTTACCATTGCCCTAGTGTTTTCAGCCCAGAGCTGTTGTACCCATTTCTATGTAGCTTATGGATTAGACTCCAGAGACTCCCCAGTGAGTTGAAGCAATATGCCTCCTTGCTTTTCTGACTAATTCAGAGTAGTCCTGGGAAGTCCTTTTACACTTTCAGATGTCTTACTTAGGGTCCAGGCTCAGAAAGCACTCCAAATTTCTCTGAATTGAAAGAGCTGACTGAAATGTTCTATCGTTAAAATTGCCAAATGTGAGAACATTATATGGCTCTCCACATAAGTGAGTAGATAACTGTATCATTGGACTTCTTCTGAATCTGTAGTTTCCAATTCCTGCATCACCTGGGTACCTTTCCTGCTTCAGACAACACCCAGGGACTGATGCATGATTGAATATGCCTCAGGGCTTTTCTATTCATAGCAACCTGCCATCGGCAGCAAGCTGTGTGATGCAGAGTTTGCAGAGTTCTTCTGCCGGGGAAGGCAGTGTAGCCATTTTGGCTGCCTCTATGAAGTTACTCTGACTCTGCACACAGAAGAGTGCACAACGTGAAAATTACCCACTGTGATTCTTTAAGAGACATCTGTTTTTTTTTTTTTGTTTGTTTGTTTTTGTGATATATGCCATCATCTTGCTACCAAAATGTTCCCAGTTGCTATTTATTATAAAATATCTTCAAATGCATCTTTTTTTTTTTTTAATCATTCACTTACTAAAGGATTTAGCATAAAATCTTAGAAGACTTTGGCTATAAACATCATTATTTTAAACAACATCTGACAACTTGAAAAATAATGTGCCAACTAGTTGAGCATCAAGGAATTTTAAATGAATGCAACATAGAATACAGGTTTCAAAGCTTTTGCTGAGGGTTAGTATATATTGACTACAAATTAATCTGCTTGTTTAGTGCATCTTTGCCTCTGAGCAGTGACAGACAAGATTGAATCTGCCAAAAAAAAAAGGCTCTGGGGGCGCCTGGGTGGCTCAGTGGGTTAAAGCCTCTGCCTTAGGCTCAGGTCATGATCTCAGGGTCCTGGGATCGAGCCCCGCATCAGGCTTTCTGCTCAGCAGGGAGCCTGCTTCCTCCTCTCTCTACCTGCCTCTCTGCTTGCTTGCAATCTCTGTCTGTCAAATAAATAAAATCTTAAAAAAAAAAAAAAAAAACGGCTCTGTTATATGCCTCAACTCATTTTCCATTGCTGAGCTATTCGTGGTAACCAGTAATTGGAAGGTTTGGTTTCAAAGTGAGTGTTCAGAAAAATAGATGAAAGAACACCTCATTCACAGTCTATCAGTGATAGAAGATACAGTTCTTTATAAGCCTGATTGGAGAGGGTAAATCTTACATAAAAAAATCTGAGACCATTTGGAATGATGCGCTGTGACCACCGGACATGGTATAACTTTGGTAATCAATTTTCCATTCGGTATCAATCCAAGTATCTTCATTGAGAGAGGTGAAGCTATGACTATTTGTGGTTTCTCAGGAATGCCAATTTGGACAAATAACATCAAACTGTCTTTTGGGTTCAATGCCTAGCCTCTTATGTAGATTGAATTGAAATACAACAAAACTTCTTATTTAGGTCTTTCATTCTTTTAATTTCAATTGTAGAGTATATGAGGCTATCAAAGCAGGGTAAAAAATTATATCCCAAGGCCCTACTTCATGTGATATTACTGTTAATAGAGGCTCTATTTTAAGAGGGCAGCTCTGCATAATATTAAGCTCATAGTCTGTGTTCCTGCATTTTGCAAGTGATAAAATCACAAATGAATGAGTTTAGTGAACCCAAATAAAACTTATATTACAAATATTCCAATTATAAGTGCATGGTTCATTTTTTCATTTTCTTAGAGAAAATTTATTTTAAGCTGGTTGTGTTTCTGTGTGTGTGTGTGTTCTACAATTTGTCTTGTTTGTTCAGCCTTTGTCTTTATTCTCCCTGAGCCTGGTTGCCTTGGTTACCATTACATACATGCTTGAACATGAAGTTCCTCTTTGACGTGCATTTATTTCTATGGAAACAATGATGTCATTGGCACGGGTAGGTGCTCAGGGAAAGCATAAATAAGTATTCAATATTGATCTTTCTTTTGGTCATAAATTGATTCATTAAATTATTTTCTTTTTAATTAGAGAACTGTATTTTTGCTTTCCTTTTGACTTGATCATGAAGGTACATTTTTCCTTGTTTATAGACTTGCTCAAATAAAATGACTTACTTAAAGAATTAAATACACCATATAGTTCCTTCTCTGATATGTGGTGTCATAAAGCTCACCGCAGATACTATTACAATAAAAGAGTCATTACTTTTACCTTAAGAGGCTCTCAGAGAGTGAGAAATTTATCTCAGTAACATCTCAATGTTATCAGAAAATTGTGCAAGGAATTTTATATTCAGATCAAGGTAATGGATCAAGAAAAAAAAGGGGCCCTACTTATAGTCATTATTTTAAAAACCTCCAGGTTTAGAAACAAGGGATATACGAGGGAAGTCATACTTACTAAAACATTTTTCATGACATTAAGTAAATCCACACATAATTGGTATTCCTTTTTTTTTTTTTTTATGTCTTAAGAGGCTTTTAAAACTTCTTTTTTAAAAAGCATCTATCTTCTTCTCTGCTTTACTTCCACCCTACTCCAGTCTAATTTTTTTTTTCTTTGTAGATGATGTGGAAGCCTGCCTATGATTTTCTCTATACTTGGGGTGCTCACTATGGAAACAGCTACAGAGACGTGTTACAAGATCTTCAATCAGCTTTGGACAGAATGAAAAACCCTGTGACCAAACAGTGGCGAGACTTAACTGGAGCTTTAATACTAATACATTCCTTAGAGTTTTTGAGAGCAACTGCATTCTCAACTTCTGATGAAGTATAAAAATGAAGGGTATGTTCCGGGGAGGAAGGGAGAATGGTAGGGGGAAAATGAGTGTGTGTGTGTGTGTGTGTGTGTGCACGCGCGCGCATGCGCGTGTGTGAAAAGAATCTCAGAAAAGTGTTACTTATTTTTTTCAAGTTTGAAAAAGTATGTTTTCCCTGGTGAAAGCACAGCCTAACACAAAATTCAAAGATAGGTTTTATAATCAAATATGTATTTTTATACATGTTTCAAATGCAAACATTAAGCTGTTCTGTTGTTGCAAAGGAAAATAAAGCCCTCTGTCACTTTCAAAGTTATTTTTCATTTATTTAAGTGAAAACAAATGACTGTTAACATAATTACACAGATACCCAGATAAACTAGAGGCTCCCAGGGTAAACACTGGAGTTTTACCAGTAGGGAGGTCAAGAGAGAGGAGAAGCAAACACATATTCTGTGGACAGGCACAGGGCTATAAGCTTTCTATATTTGATCTCTTTTATTTCTCAGTGGAGTGTGCTAACATTCTTCCCATTTTTTATCTGAAGAGACTAAGGACTTAGAGAGGACACTCAGGGCTATTTGGCAATGTGAAGTAAGTTTTCTGTCTGCAAACCTGGTTTTATTTATCTTTCTAAAAAACATAGTACATAGCAAAATAGTAAAAATTAAAAGTGCATATTAAAACTTATAGGGACAGAGTAGCTACTTCATTTTAAGGGAAGCTTGCTGTATTTTTCTACCATCTTTTGAAAGACTGCCAGAAGGAAATATGATTTATCCTCAGAAATCTATTGTCTGTATTCACAGACTATAGTTTTCACCATCTTTTTCCAGCATTTTGGGACAGAGCTAATCCTGCCAAACTTGGACTTTTTTTCAAGATCATAGTGTGGAGTAGTTCTTTAAATCTCAGGGACTTTTATCGGGAAGAATTAGTTTTTAGGAAACTGATTTATCACTGTTGAGTGTAGCAGTCTTAACCACCAAAAACACTGATATCTCTGTGTGTGAATGCTCATGTAATCACGCGTGTGTGTGTGTGTGTGTGTGTGTGTGTGTGTTTACCAGAGCATTTCATAAAGCTTTTGGAAAACAGAGACTACCCAGGAATTTAGGCCAGTACAAATGCTAACTGCTGGTAGAGTTCACAAAAAGATGTTTTGTGCTTGCTCATATGTTAAATCCTTTGGCCATCTGCCAGCATTGATGTGTTTTGGACAGTCATTCATTTATTGTCACTTAATCAAGAGATGGAATGTGTGTACCTACTTTGAGGCAGGCACATAGATGCTTGGGATTTACAATAGAAGAAACAACATGATTCCTGACTTCAGTACTGCCAAGTGATGGAGAGAGACAAAAATTTAAAACATACGGTTAAAGGTAAAATTGGATCTGTAATAAAAACTACAAGGGACAGGCTGAGAGATATATGGAGGGTCATCACGGGAATCCGAAGAATCAGGCATGTTTGCCCTTGGAAAGAAATGATGAGCCCTAAGGAGGATCAGGCACTGCTTCTGGTCTGGGAGGGTGGAAGAGGTAGGTCCTCAGGCAGAAGTTGGGGCTTAGGAGATGCAGGGAGCCAGTAGGACAGGCCTAAAAGGGAGAAAGAATGAAGGAAGGAAAGACACACCCTCAATGGTAATATGATGAGCTGAATAAGGATTTTGTTTGGGGATCCTGAATAAAACATGTCCATTTGGCTAAAAAGTAAAAGCAGAATCTTTTTAGAGCTTTTAATACACCTACCCTGGGGTATTTGTTATGCTGGCAAAGGTAATTTGAATTAGGTTTAAGAACAATCTTTAAGGTTTTCAATATTTATATCTGATAATAAGAGAACATAGCCTGCCCAGGGAGTTATGCACACATTCAAGGACAGAATTTATTTTAGTTGAAAATAAATGCAGAGAGGGGGGGGGGGAAAACAACAGTGTGTAAGTTCAGGACACAATCATTTTTAGTGGTGATTTTGCTTTCTTTAGAACATTCTTGGAATCTTATTAACATGTCAGCAAACCAGAGAATTTCGGGAAGCGATAGTGCAGAATGAATAACTGGGTTTTTCCAGGCTCCAAGATCTGAGAAAACAGAGACCCTGTTAGCTGATAGGGTAGTAAGATTAAACAAATCACTTCAGGTTTACAGCGCATCATGGATTGTGACTGTGGCTGGGAAGTTTAAAGAGTTTAAAAAATGAAAAACATGAGGTCCAACTCTAGGATGAAGCAATGGCTTAGATATTAATGTATACAAAGATATCTTACAGTCTTGCAACAAATCCTTCCAGAGAAATTTTAAACCCATGTCCAAACATTCTGTTCTTATAAATATATTCTAATATTTTTATAAATCATTTCTACTTTTCTGAATTTTATATTTTTCTTTGTATAATGGATTTCATAATCAGGAAAGATTAACTCAGTAATCACGAATTGCCTTTAATATTTGGCAGCAAATCAAGGGAATTAATAAGGCACTTAAATCCCATCCTTGACATCATTAAAAACATCAAAAGCTATTAATCTAAAACTTCTTTAAGCATTTTGGAATTGGAAATATCATATAGTTCTTTCAGTACCTCAGGCTTTTTCTCTAATGATGCATTAGGACGAGATTTTAGTTCAGTGCTCAGCTTGTAGTGTCACAGTTTTTCTATGGAAGCCACAAATTCTCCACTTCCTCTGTTAAAGCCTTACTATGAAGGCCAATTAAGGAGGTGCAGGTGAGAGCAGATGATTAACAGTTCATACCAGTAATGGTTACAGCACGCTTTCATGTCCTGTAATGTAGGAAATACCATATGAAGTTTTGACCTTGAGGATGACTCGACTTCTGGAAGGAGCAGCATTTGCTACATGAATGGATGGCATTGGTCTAAGAAATGTCACTGCCAATAAACAGGTTTGAATATGTGACATGAACATACAATAGAAGGAAAAAGGAAATACCATAGAGTACATTCAAATCATACTATGCTATAATTAGAAGGTTCAGAACTTGAATTTTCATACGATGCTGCTGTCAATTATATTTTCTGTAATTTTTTTAATGTCTAAGGAATGTTTGAGACAATATAAAGAAAAAGAATATTGAAAAATTATGTGACTAGAGGTTTTTCTAATTAAAATAGATATTTTTTTCTTCTCATTCCCACATAATTTTCCCCTCTTCCGTATGAAGTTGTTTCCCATGTACTGCTGTATACCTTAGTTAGTGAAGTTCCAAAGATCATATATTAGCATTATGCTAGGTACAGGTAATGCAAAGGCATTCTTCAGAATAAGATGATTGTTGAATGTTGGTTTCTTGCATGCATATTTATTTGTCTACAACACAAAATAAAAAGTAATTATATGCACACAGGAAACTGAATTTGCACATAGGTAGCATCTGGTGTTTATCTCCTATTCAGCATCAAGATTTCACTAAATGTGCAGATTTGTGGCTTCTGCATATATTTTTTACATTGACTTTCTCTTTATGTATATCTAGGCTTATGTAATCCAGAAGGTTTTAAATATAACAGCTCTGCAATTCTGAATTATAGTGTCAGTTCATATATGAGGGAGTGAGGATGGGGAATCAGTACTGGATAATAATTTGTAACGCCAAAGCAGAGAATCCCAGAGCAAGCTCTGCTCTTGTAGTAGTGAATACAACAAGAATGGCTTCCTCTGCAAAACAGGAGTCTAGAGTGGAGAGCTGTGGCTTAAATCTTTGTTTGTTACGTCCTAAGAGACCTTTGACCTGTCGCCCAGCCTCCCTGGGCTTTGGTTTTCCCACCCATAAAACAAAGGGCTTGAACTAGGTAACCTCAAAAGTTCCCCATGGGTTTAAATGTCAGTGAGTATTTAATGAGTAGGATATTTCATGGTCTTTTTTATTTGTTTGGCTATGCAGGAAGAGAATATGAACTAAGACTAATAATACTAATCATCTACATCAAAATAATATCCCCTCTGTGTGAGGCAAAGCACACATAGCACATACACACGAACATTCTAAGCACTTTACCGCACTTCACACGATTACTTACAGAACCTAGTGAAAATGCTTTGCAATGTGTACTGTTTTGAACAGTTGCAAACTACCCAACTCTTCAAATCGACTAGACAATGGTGTAGGAGGGTTGCTTAGGAGGGCAGCAGCAGCTTTAAGAGCAGTGACCCAAAGCACACTGCCAGACACGCTCCAATCTCCCTGCAAGGCCTTAGACCAGGCAATCTCTCCTGCAGGAAGTCTCCAATTTCAGCAGCAGCAAAATCCCCTGGAGGGCTGGCTGGAACACAGATTGTTGGGCCCCACCCCCAAATTCCTGATTTAGCAGGTCTGTGGTGGTACCCAATAAGCTGCATTTCTGCTAAGTTCCCATGTGATGCAGATGCTGCTGATCCAGGGACCCCACTTTGAGAACCACTGAACTACGGTTTCCTTCCTTTCCTAGAAATGAAAGAATCTTTGTTAAGCCAGAAAAACTTGTGTCGTTCCATCAGAGAAATCATTTCTAAATTTAAAAAAAAACCTCAAAAATTACGTTATATGGTAGCTCCATTTATTTATATTCAGTGAACTTTTCACAGTGAATTAATGCAAACCTTATTATTTCAAAATGATAATTTTGGTTGGAAAGCTAATTGAAATAATTGAGTACTCTGCATCTTGTTTAAAACATAACATTTGAGGTAAAATAGGTTAATAATTTGAGATTAGTAATTAATAATTGAAATTATTAATTTCGGTGTCACTATAAAACAGTGTTAAGATGATTTTGCAGGGTGCCTGGGTGGCTCAGTGGGTTAAAGCCTCTGCCTTCAGCTCAGGTCATGATCCCAGGGTCCTGGGAACCATGAACCATCTATATGTCTCACTTTCATTGTAAAATTAGAGTATGATTATAGGCACTTGTTAAATAAGGTAGCCAGATGTTCTCTTTCCAATGAGTAGTTTCACATTTAAAGGGAAGGAGACTCTGAGAAGGGTGATGAACTGGCCAATTCACTTAAACATTATGTATTATAGCTCATCCTCTGCCATCATTTCCTTTTTAAATTGTTCTTCTTTGAGTAACTAGGAGGA